ATTCAGTCAGATTATTTTAATATGAATTATTTTAATTCAGTTAGATTATTTTAATTTTAATACTAGTCAAATGCAATTAATGTTGTGATTCCAGAAGTTGAAGAACTGTATGTTCTTCAGGGACCAAAAAAAAACAACGTTGAGGAAAAAATATTTTTTAAACATTTCTTCCCATTATATTTTTGTCTTCAAAGACTATTAACACAAACTGAATGACATATTCAGTATAGAAATATATATATATATATATATATATATATATATATTCAATATATAAATGAATCAACCACGATTAGTTTTGTTGTTCCAGAAGTTTGAAGAACTGTTTTTTATTTTTTTTTTATTTTAGTAAAAATTGTTGAGGGTGAAAAAAGTTGAAATGTAATTTTTGTAAACATTTTTTCCATGACATTTTTAGTATTTTAATTCAATTTGATTATTTTAATACATAAAAATTCCTAATTTAATTAAGCACTGCTTATTTTCAAAGACTTCTGTTAACACAAACGGAAAGATATATTAGATTAATCAACCACAATTAATTTTGTTATTCCAGAGATTTCAAGAACTATATGTTTTTCAGTAAGTTGTTGAGGGGAACATTTTTTCCCCCCATTACATTTATTAGCGTTTTAAGTCAGTTAGATTATTTTAATGCATAAAAATGTATTTAATAGATAATTAAATTTAATGAATAATTTTATTAAATTTAATTTAAAATTAAATCTAATTTCAAATTTAATCTAATTTTAAATTTAATTAAATTTAATTAAATTTAAAAAATTTCCTACGGACACCTGGTGGGCTCCTGGTTCAGAACCACTGCTCTAATATAATTTTTAAATTATGAAAGCATCCTATTTCCTTTTACAATAACATACACTGATCAATCATACACCGTAAGAGCAGAGATAGTCAATAACGTGTTTTTATTTCATGATGTCTTTCAGGTTGTGGAGAAACATAAAGGCACTTGACAGACGTTACGAGAGCCAGTGCGTCCTTCGTTTCTAGTGCAGCAACTTTCTTGAATTAATTAAGCTGAAGCGGCTGTGGGTTAATCAGCAGAGCCGCGAGCAGGTGGAGAAACTCTGATAAAGATGGACAATTATGCAGGAGTAAATTGGTTTGGCGTTGAGGACGGCGCAGGACGTTATCACTCGCTCTCACGCCGCTGCTATTTCTGTACCTCGTTTTCTCCTCCGTCTCTCACTTTTTGGCTGTCCATCTGTTGCTTTTGCCCCCTTGTGTCGTTTCCGCCCATCTTCGGGTCGTGTTTTTGCTCTTTTCGGCTCTCCAGCCATAAACTGACTTCAGTTTCCATCACTCTTCATTTGTTTTAATTGAGCGGGGCTAGTTGTCACGGCTCCAGTGAAAACTTCTCATGGTGGGTTTGTTTTTGTAAGTCACTTTCTGTAAAGACTGAAAGCGTGAAGTTTTGGCTACAAAAAACAAAACCCCCTTGAACATTTCCACAGGAAAAAGTTCACAAATAATGCATTTTCATATATTTCATGATATTCTTCTGCAATGATTTGAGAATCATTCATGTCTGGAGCACAAACGTGTGAAGAGTTTTTAACCTGTGGTTAAATAAAGGAATGAATGAATGAATGAAACACTGTAGCTTGATCACATTACTATAAAAACGAATTAAACATAATCATTTAAACACAATAATTGTTATTTATTGTCTTTATTATTTTAAGTTAAGGTGCTAGATGTTTGCAGTGGTTTCATTTTTTTTATTTTCCCCAATTTTATTTTTATTTAATTTTTTATTATTTTATTTTATATTGTATTTTATTTTTTATTTGTTCTGCTCTGTTCTCTACTATGTTAAAAATATATTTATATTTAGTCTAATATAAATGTTTTTTATTTTATTTTTTTCTCCTCTGCTCTTAACTGTATTAAAAATATAATTATATTTAGTAAAATATAAATATATTTTTGTTGTTTTGTTTTTTTATTTTAATAAATTTTTCATGAATGTGTTTATTTTTACTTTCATTTATAATTTTATTTGACCTCTTTATTTAATTTAATTTGTATTTATTTATTTTTAATTAATGAATTTATTTTTAATGAATTTAATTTTTATTTCTATTTTATTTATTAATTTATTCAATTTTCTTTATAATTATAATATATTATTTATTTATTTGTTTAATTAATGGTTTTCATCTGAATTCCATTTATTTATTTTTATTTATTATATTTCTATTTCAATTTATTTGTTTGTTTGATTATTTATTTTTTAATTTTAATTTATGATTTTATTTATTTTGTTTCATGTTTATATATATATTTTTTTATTTATTTTTTTTATTTTTTTAATGATTTTTATCTGTTTATATCATTTATTTATTTCATTAAATTTTTTTCATTAATTTTTTTGTATTTCAATTTGTATTTTATTTAATTTAATTTAATTTTTTATTTTCAGTTTTCCACTATCCTGCTAATAAAAGTGTCAGAACTCCACAAAAACAAATGCATTTGATATGTATTGGTGTTGGCGCTCATGTAGGCCGCCGGCTCTTCATTGAGCTCCTCTGAGGTGTCTGTTCACCTCAGAGCAATCCTTCAGCTCTCATCACACTCTCTTATGTAATGAGCTGTTGAGGGTAAAGACTCGGGTGGTCCAGGAATTGAACAGACAGGAGGGTACAAGAGGGTCTCGCTTCAAAAGAATTGATGAAAGTTACCTGCTGGTTTGTCTGTGCTTGGCTTAAAAGGAGTTTTGGTTTATATATTCGTTCTCAGTCCTTGTGTTGATGTTGAATGTGAGCGACGGGTGAAGGATGAATACCGTATGCCCTGCTCTGGGCGATGTTTCCAAGAATGAAGCGGTTTTCAGACTGCAGCGGGATGTTGTTTTTCGCTGGTTTTGCAGATGGAAACCATATGGCTCTGAAAGCTCTTCATGTGTCTATTAATGGAGCGCAGGTCTCGGCTTCTGCTCATCCAGACGTGTTGAAAGGTCCTCCTCCGTCTCTTTAATGTGCTGTTTTGTTTTGTTTCAGATCCACACCGAGTTCCAGTGCCGTCAGGCTCACGCCGCCGGATCCGACACGTCCGGCCTCACTTTCTCCTACGACGGAGTAACTCTAGCATCACGAGGAGGTTAGACCCGCCTTGTGTTACGACTGGGTGGTGTATATCTGACAGTAAAAAAAAACTAACAGCATCACAGCAGCTGTTATGAGGTTATTTGGGCTGCTTTAAAGAGCTGCTGCGGATCTGACACGCATCCTAGTTTCTCATAACTCTTTACCTTTTCTGACCCTCTTCAGCTCTTAAAGTGTCTGTAATGAGCTGAGGAGATGAATCAGGTGTGTTAGATGAGGGAGACAGTGCTGCTGCTTCAGGACAGTTCGGAAAGCCACTGCATTTCAGAGACGTGTTCTTACATCTGACTCATATATAACACATACTTACATGCATGCACAGTTTCAAAGCAGCTTTTATCGTCTTTTTGGTAACTTCATGACTTAACTGATGACATAACTACCACATTGCATGCTCGTAGTTTCTTTTTTAACCTATTAAAGCAATTTACAGCCCTGATATATATATATATATATATATATATATATATATAAGATAGAAATATAAATAGATGGATAATGTTTAAAAATATTTTTTATTAAATATTGCATAAAATAAACAAAAAGTAAATAAAAGTAAATAATAGTGAATAAATAAAATATATTTTATTTTTATGTTTTATATATTATATAAAATAAATACATGAATATATATTTTAAATATATGTATATTTTGATATTATAATATATAAATAATACATTTGTTTTGTGTGTATATATATATATCTTTATATGTACTGTGGTGTGACATGCAAAAATTTAAATAAATTATTTATAATAATTAATAATAAAAAAATTGGAATTAAGTGATAATAGTAGCAATAATAATTAAATATTCAATTTATAATGAATATGCAAACAACTTTATTGAGCTCTTATTATTTGAGAGACTGCATGGAATACTAGTACATTTATAAAATAATTTTTCATACCTTATGTGACATGCTAAATTTGCAAAAACTGCATTTTTTATTTATTTGCATTCAGCATATTAATTATAAAAGAAATAATTTATTAATAATAATGAACAATAAATACATATTAATCATGTAGTAGTAGTAGTAGTAATAATAATAATATTAAATAACAATAGTAATTAAATATTAATTTTATAAAAAATATGCAAAACAGCTACAATGAGCTCATATTATTTGAGAGACTGAGAGGAATATTCATACATTTATGAAAATCTTTTTTCACACTTTAACGATCATTTAAAATGAGTACAATAATACAACTAATGAAAAAAAAGGAAACCAGTTATGACATCTTAAATATACACTTCCACTCTAAATTTGAACAATATATTGATGTTTTTTCACAAAAAAAAAAAAAAAAAGAAATAATGATGCATTATAATGCACTTCATGAATAATTATGAATACTTATCAAATTAACCCATTAGCAGTTTAATGCAATTGTAATGTGATGTTGGACAGGACTTGGGTGTTAATGGTGTTTCACGGCATTATTGTGAAAGTTATATAAACTAAAAGTATAATTAACGGGCCTGGAGATGTCATGGAAATTTAATCGCCCAATATATATAATTTAAAGTATTCTCTCTCTTTCTATTGCTTTTTTAACTTTTGTTACTTTTAGTACTTTAACGTATTTAGCAGTTTTTCATTTAGGCATCATTTCTAGTTTTTATGTCTATTGTTTTTGTTTGTTTTTCATCTAATATTTTTATATATTTCAGCTTTATTTAAATTAGCAGAAGTGATTATTATTTTTGTTGTTGTTGTTTTAGTTTTAGTTAACTCTACCCGCTCTGTAAGTGTTGTGTTCGAGCTCTGTTTACTCGTGCTCATGAAGCACAGCAGATGATGAAGTGTATTGTAAGGCTTCTCTTCTTTAACTGTGCTGATGAACAGGACATACTGATGCTTCAGTCCGGATGATAAACTGCTGCTGACGGGAACCTCGGTCAAGAAGGACGAAGGCAACGGGAAGCTGCTGTTCTTTGAGCGGGAATCTCTGCAGAAGGTCTATGAGATTGAAGTCGCCGATGCGGACACACACTTCTGTGTTGCTCTCATGGTGAGGAGGATTGCGTGGTTTAGACTTGCTGTGTGTTCACTAATAATTAGGGCTGGGTTTCTCATTCACAAGCTTGCGGTTCGATTCGATTACCGATTCGATTCAGTGTCGATTATTTTGGATATGTATCAGGTACAGTACATGCCAAATTTTCTCAAGGAAAAAAAAACAAAACAACTAATTCTGTATAATATACATGAAAGTCAGTTGGTACTACATTGCTATAATATGGAATATAAGTTTTTACAATAATAAAGTTACAGTTACATAATAATATTTCTACTTCAATTAATTTTTTTAATGTAAACATAATGGTGGCTGTCATCAAAACATGATGGATTTATTCAAACATAACTTAAACATTGAAGAACAGTAAAAATTATAATGAATATGTTATATGGTGCATATATTTAGCAAAATGCCCCTCTCTACAGTTTATTTTTCTATCAGACTAATGAGTTTATGGTCACCGAATATGTTTTTTCTGAGTTAATTGTGACGTTACGTGATATTGTGTACAAGCCGTTATATTGACGTCTTTGCGTGGCTGAAATACTGATTGAGCGATTACATGAGACAGGATACGGATTGTAAAGTTGTACTCTTTCTTTTAACGCACCTTCAGATGTTTAGTCGTGTTTATTTTGTGCTATAACTAGTAATAAAGCGGAGGAGACGATCAGTTCACTGAGGCGCTACAGCGATCTGTCACTCCACATTAAACAGCGCCAAAACGGCATTAATTGTTTAAATACTGCAATAAAATGGACAGAATTTGAAATCTGAGACTTTGTTTCATATTAAAAGTATAAAAGCACAATGCTTATTGCGATATATTGGATGGGAGGTGCCCTTCAATGTTCCGTCCATTAACTGAAAACAGGCTAGAATAATCGATTCTTGGGATTTAAGAATCGGTATCGTTCCGTAAAAATGAGAATCAATTAATCTCGAGATATCGATATTTTTAACCCAGCCCTACTAATAATGTTTCCAGATCACAAAATGCTGATTTACATTTCACTGACAGGGAAACTCAGCAGCAAATTGGGAAGAAATGTAAAGGATTTTCTGTTTTTTTTTTCAGTCATATGATTGGCTCCTGTGAGGCCCGTCAGTCAAACCCGACTGAAACTCCAGGGTTGTCCGTGCTTATTTAATTTAATATATATTTTATATATACATTAATCTGACTTATAGGTATTGAATAAATTAGGTAAATAATAAATCTGCATCTATTGTCCTTGAAAAGAGAAGCTCGCACATACGGCCTAATGTCTCATTTAGAGCTTCACAGAAGAAAACGATATTCTGGCATAATTGCTAATGAATTTTCATTATTTCATTTCTTTTCATTATTATAATTATTTGTTTTGTACATTTATTTCATAAATATTTTATATGTAAATTAATCTGACATCTAGGCATTTCATTATTGCAAAGTAATATAATTATTTTAATAGTTAACTTTATATATTTATTTAACATGCTTTGTATATATTTATTATTATTATTATTACTATTAATCTGCAATAATTGTTTATTTGATTATGTTGGATTTTCACATTAATCTGGCATGTTGGTATTTAACTATTGCAAATTATTATATTACAATGCTTTTAATGGGTTTTCATACATTCATTTAATATATAAATATGTAAATTATTATTATTATTATTACTACTACTTCTAATGGTATTTCATTATTGAGAATTCATTTAATTAGTGCTTTAACTAATATATATGCATTATTATTGTTTCATTGTTGTCAATTATTATTATTGATTTCATTATTGCAAATTAATAGAATTAATAATTAGTATTTTAATTATTTGTAATATATTAAATATTTTATATATAATTGTTATTTCAATATTGTACATGAATATATTATGCTTTATTTTAATTATTTAAAATGGTTAATGGTTTATTTGATTGTCAGATTGATTGTACATGTACTGGCAGCTACAGTTATGTATATATTACAGTATCCAGAAACTGAGACTTCACAATAATATGATTATCTCTAGTAATGGAAACTCTGTCCAGGAAGACTGCAGTCTTAAATTACTTGGTAAATGCTGTTCTGTCAGATTAATAGTGCAACTGCAGACAGGAAGCAAAACTTTCCACCGGTTCGTCCCTTTGGAAGCAAAGGGAGCGATGTCGTCTTCCGTCCATTTGCTGGAATGACACACGCGTGACCTCGACAAGCGTCCCGGCGCACTTGAAAGCTGGATTCATCTGAAGCGAGTGAAGTGTCTCTGGGAGCTCTTTCTGAGGTCAGTGGACGGTACGAAGGGCACATCTGAGTGTCTGCTCAAAGCTCCCATGGCGGTCTGTGATCAAATGTGCTGTTGAGTGTGTTTCTCTAAGTCCCAGCACTCCGGCTCTAGTCATAACAGTGTAAAGGCTAATGCTGTCCATCCCAGGTTGCTTCATGTCCTAAACCTGACAGGATGGCATAAAGCAGATGTTGACATCCAGCACACAGAAACCATAGAGCAGCAGCATTAATCTGAAGAACATAATATTTTTTGTGAGATGCATCACAGACATTTTCCATTTTCTTCTGTCTACTTGAAAAAAAAAACGTTTTGTGTGTGTGTGTATATATATATAATATATATATATATATATATGTGTGTGTGTGTGTCTGTGTAATTATATATTATATATTATTTAAGATATAATTTATTATTATTGTTATTATTACAATTATCTGCAATAATCTATTTGATTTTGTTGGATTTTGCAAATTTGTTGGTACAAAAGTAATAGTTTATCCTAAAATGAAAAGCATGTCATATCACCTTTTTTTATTTTTAATTATTTATCATCTAAACAACCATATTATATTTCTTCGGTGAAGCATTAAATAAGACATTAGGCAGTATGTGCTAGCTTCTCTTTTCCATACAAGGATGATAAATGTTGATTTATTCTGCCAAAAAAGCCCCATCATTTGTGTCCGGCATCAGTAGAATCATATTAACAGCGGTGGACGGCTCTTGTTTGCTGAAAATACCTTTGGCCCATCCAGAAGACTAAGTTATTTATAACTGACCTGACGAGGAGCTATTTACAGTGTTTATCCAGCGCAAGACGGCTGAAGAATTTAAGTGCTGTCTTTATGAAGTGCTGCACTAGGCCGTCCTGTGACAGGAAGAGCTACCAATCATGCAAGTGTAAACATGGGCCGTAACCCCGTGGCGGGGTCGCACTCTGTGCTGAGACGTGGGCACATCTCCAGGCTGGAAAGAGTAAATACTCCAGGGGTGGTTCTCGGCTTTGCTGACTTTTTCACAAGGTGCAAAAACCAGGTGAGACATGTGCGTCCTCCAGGACGTCTGCTGCTCCCTCTGCATTGGACATTTGGAATGTGGCTTGATGTCCAAAAAGTAAAACAGATCCAGGGCTGCTTGAATTGAAGTGATAAAGTGTTTATTAAACTGTCTTTGTAGGTATCTTGGAGTGGTTTGCCTCCTCTCTAAAGCATAGGACATTTGCTGTGAATATAGTCATTTTATTGCCCCCTGTAGTATGTGGTGTTCCCCAGGGTTCAATTCCCGGACCACTGTTGTTTTCCCTATACATCCTTCCATTAAATTATATCTTCTGGATGTACAGTATCTCTTACCACTGTTACGCTGACTATTTTCAGTTTATTTTCCAGTGACATTTTGAATGCGGCTTAATGTCCAAAAACTAAAACATCTAGTGCTGCTCAGATTGAAGTGATATATTGTTTAAATTTCTTTGTAGGTTTCTCTGAGTGGTTTGCCTCCTTTCTAAGGATAGGACATGTGCTGTGAATATAGGACATCTTTCCTTCAAACGACCTCTGTAGTATGTGGTGTTCCCCATGGGTCGATTCTGGAACCACTTTTGTTTTCCCTATATATGCTTCCTTTCTTTGTACAATATCTTATGGAAGTACAGTATCTCTTACCACTGTTATATTTTATGAGTATATATATATATATATATATATATATATATACAAGTAAAAATAAAGTCTTTCATATTATTATTATTATTATTACTTATTTATTTATTTGTTTATTTTACTGTGTAACTTGAAAGCATCCTTGTGTCTTCTGGGTGAATGGTCGCCATGTTGGGCACGATTGCAAGTAATGGAGAGGTCAGATATACAGATGTGCTCGATCTAAACCCCATGATACAGTATCTGCAAGGTAGTGACTAAATGAGATTACGTTTGTATTCGGCCAAAAAAGGCTCAGCTGGAAGCACATTTCAGATCCGCGGCCAAATCTTCCAGATCTTTTCTAAATAATCAATTATCTGGCCACATGCCCATGGAGACGGATTGACCCCATACATCCCGTTAAGTCAATAAAGGCCGGAGAAACCCCTGCTACAGTCCGGGGGAGGGAGGGTCTAAAGCCGGATTCTTGGTCAGAGAGGCTTAACGCAGTCCGGCTGGTGGATTTAGGCAGAAACGAGCCCGGCGCTGAACAGCTGGAGGCTAAGCAGTTTTCACCCAAATGCCTCCACAGGTCTTTCCTGATCTGAACACTGCATACATCACAAGATCTGTTTAGAAAGAGTTTCTTGAACATAGTATGATTTATTATGCTCCTCTTGTGCTGTTAACTCATCTCAGGAGATCACTTTTAAAGTGCATTTGGACCCCAGTACCTGCTGGATATTCTTGTGGATTTCCTGTACAGCTTCATTATTTACACACCCTCATTTTCATCCTGATCTAATTATTTCATTTCATTTCATTTAGTTTACATTTTTTTATATTCAATGCAGCATATTTGCATGACAGTGATGTTTATTTTATTTTTATTTATTTATTTTTTTTGATATTTTCATGCATTTCAATGCAGCATGTTTGCATGGCAATGATGTTTATTTTATTTTATGTTGTATTTTCATGTTTTGACAGTGGTGACATATTTTCCCCTCATTTTGATCCAAAACTTTATTTAATTTTTTATTTAATTTATTTTTATTTATTTTATTTTGTGGTATTTTCTTACATTTTCTCTTTTAATTTCAGCATGTTTGCTTTTCCTTTAAAGCTTCATTCTTCACTTACCCTCAATTGATCCAAACCTATATTTAGTTTTATTTCATTTTATATTATTTTATAATAAAATATTTAACTTTTTTGTGATAAATATTATTAATATTTCATTATTGCAAATAAATATATTATTACTTTTATTTTAATTATTGATTTTATTTTTGATATTTATTATATGTATTTATATTTATTTATCTTTTTATATGTTATATTATGTCTTACATATAACTTATGATAATAATAATAATTCAAATTTTTCATTATGCAAATGTAATATGTGTAATTTTTATTTTAATTATTATATATTGTATATAATAATAAAAATTACTACTACTACTGTTTTAAACAGTCTTTATTTATTTGCTCGTTTGGGTTAGACTTTCACCAGTCACAAGTTTGTAAGAATGTAATGGGCTTTTCTGGTGTTTTTATGTCTTTAATGGTGCTATTTGCAGACGGTCGCTATGAACTGTCTTCGTATAGACATGCGCTGCATGCAGACGTTCCTCTGCATGTGTTTGCAGGCATTCAGGAGTCTGTTCCTCCGTCTCTTCTCTCACACAAACACGCTGTCACACATGCACACAAATCCTCACACACAGCCTTGGCAGCGGCCCATTCATTACAGCGAGTCTTTGAGATCCAGGACCGCCAAATATAGTCAACTGGAGATGAGCTGGATGGCGAGAGATATCAGACGTCATCCGAGCGCAGACCGGCTCTGCCATCGGTTTATGTTCACTTCCTGTTCAAATAATGAGTCCTCACTCTCTGTTTCCTCTCATCTGCTGTTGTTTCAGAGCGTCGTCCGCTGTCTTTGGCATCCCAAGGTGAATCAGATCATGGTTGGGACGGGGACCGGCCTGGCGAAGGTCTACTACGGCCCGGTCAAGTGTCAGAGGTGCAGTTGCTTTGCTGTCCGTCTCAATCACGCTTCACACTCTTCTCTGTTTTTCCGCCCGTGTTTGTTCAGTAATGATCCAGCCGGATTTAAACTGATTGAACCGACTGACTGAAGCGAGTAAACTCAACGAAATGACTCGTTCATGACTCCATTAGTGTCGACTGAGAGCAGAATCAATGGTCTGCACATTTACTACAAAGTCACGTCCTGTTGTCAAGCGCACAATCAAGTGTTCTAGAGCTGGTCATAACTAGAATATGTATTTATATTTATAACTTTTAAAGATGTTTATTAATTTCCATGAGTTTTCTAGGTTTGGAAATCACTTTTAAACTTCCCTCATTTATCCAGGTTGTCCCTGAGAATTCTATAAAATAAACATAATTCTATAAAATAAATATAATTCTAGCAATATATTATTATTTTAATTGTTTTGAGGCGTTTTCCTGCATTTCTTTTAAAACTAGGAGTGATAATATGTTAAAATAATTAAATTCATTAATTCGGCTTTCCATTAGTTCATGATTGTTTTTTTGTAATTATTTTTTACTTGCAAATAGCAGTTTCTACCTGATTAATATTTTAGAACTTGTCATAACTAAAATGTTTATATTTATTATACAACTTTCCATGACGTTTAAAGATGTTTAATTCTTTCCATGACTTTTGCTGGTCTGGAAATCACACTTATTAATATAAATACATGAAAAAAATGAATTAAATAAAATTAATATTTTTGCATGCATTTCTTTTCAATACAGCATGTTTGAATGACAGTGATCATGTTTTTTTTATTTAACAAAAACTAGGAGTGCTAATAAAATGAAGTAATTTATATAATAATAATAATTCAATAATTCAGCTTTCTGGTTCATGATCACGAGTTACTGTTCATGATTATTATTATTATTATTAAGATTGTCATGATGTTTATAAATTTCTAGAAATCACTTTTAAACATCCCTCATGTATTCAGGGTTTCCAAGACTGTGAGAATTCAGGTTCTTAAATAATAAAAACACAGTTGTTGAGGGAATTAATTAAAATAAGAAATATTATGGCAGTTCGTATCTTGATTTGTAGTTGTTTAAGCTTATTTGAAAGCATGTTTTGTCTTATTTTCAATGCTTATGTCCTGTTTTGTGTGTTGTTTGTTCTTCAGAGGTGCGATGTTGTGTGTGGTCAGGAGCAAGAGGAAGGAGAAACACGCCGAGACGCTGACACAAGATTACATCATCACCCGTGAGTATGACCTGAAGAGGACATTATATGAAAATCTGCTCAAATACATTTGCATTTATCATCAAATATGCCAACAGTAAAGACACTTATAATGTCACAAAAGATTTCTGCTTCAAATAAATGCTGTTCTTTTGAACTTTCTGTTCATCTGTGAATCCTGAAAAATAAAATGCATCACAGTTTCCACAAAAATATTGTGCAGCACAAGTGTTTTCAACATTGATAATAATCAGAAATGTTTCTCGAGCAGCAGATCAGCATATTATACTGATTTCTGAAGATCATGTGACACTGAAGACTGGAGGAATGATGCTGAAAATACAGCTGCGCATCACAAATACATTACAGTTTAATATACATTCAAATAGAAAACAGTTATTTTAGATTGTAATAATTTTTCACAATTTTTGCTTTTTAAAAAAAATAAAAATAAATGCAGCCTTTGTGAGCAGAAGAGATGTTTTTCAACAATAGTCAACAAAAGTAAATGAGTGTCACTGATCATGTAACTTTTTGTACAAATGGTTAGATTTAATTATTGCAAAGTAATATATTATAATATTCATTATAATTATTTTATTTATATTATTTTACATATTATTAGAAGTATTATTAAGCAAATATCAAATTAATATTATAATATATTAATATGAAATAATAATTTTTTAAGTCATGTCATTTATATAATTGAAATTTTATTTTATTATTATTGTAAATATGTTATTTATATTAGAATATATTAATATTATTATTTAATTAATTAATTATAAATTAATATATACTTTTTATTTAAATAATTTATCATTTAAAAAATATATTATTATTATTATTATTATTATTGTATTGATGATAGTAAAAGCAGAAGTCATTTGGCTGATATAATTATTAATGACAGATTTGGTATTAAATTCCTTCTATTGCTGTCAGACATTTGGACGCTGCTGTATGTCCACAGACACACAAGCATTAGCCCTGTGAGGTGTCATCCTACATTCAGCCCCGTCATACCCCCCATTAAACCGGCCCGTGTAATGAGTAAGTGTGTGTGCGAGTGTGTGAGTGTTTGTGTGAGTGTGTGGGAGTGAGTGTGAGTGTGTGTGTGTGTGTGTGTGTTTGCACGGAGTGAGTGCTTTCCATCGGATTGCCCCACGCTGTGTCTCACCCAAGGGCCACGATGCCATTAGCGCACGACACTTAGCAGCTAAGTGTGAGCCACGAGAGCGTCAGTCACGGCATGAGCCTCCACTCGCGTGATCATCCGCCGAACCTAAACACCCTTCAAAACCCCACCGCACAGGTCAGGAAATAGCGATGGAAAATTGAGGTGATGTGAAACAGGATGATGGACCACTGAGGGAAAAAAAGAAACAGACATGTGTCACCGCTAACCTTTTTGCTTAATGTAGCGTGAGAGGAATTAGCTCGACTCCTGAATGGAAAATCGCTCACTCTTTCCCCATGACCCGGGAGTCAAACACACACACAAGAGCATCACAAATGCACTGTATTGTGGTTGTGTTGGGCGACTGTGAAATGTGGGCACTTTAATCAAAAGTAAATACAAAGACGTTGCTGTGCTGCGTGTGAAGAGCGTAGTACTCTGAGTTTGTGTGCTTCATGTCATGTGATTCTCGTGTTTCTCGCAGCTCACGCTCTGCCCATGTTTCGTGAGGCCCGGCAGCGTAGCACTAGGAAGCAGCTGGAGAAGGACCGACTGGACCCGGTCAAATCCCACAAACCCAAGTTGCCTGTGTCCGGACCAGGTGACGTAAACCTCACACGCTTCTAAAGCATTATAGGCACAAATCCCTCATTCTTTAGAGTGAGAACAACTACACTGTTAGATATACTTGTGTTTTGAAAATCGTTTTCAATTATTATGGCCCATATTTTGCATGCAAAATGGTCCTGCAGGATGTTCCCACTAATAATTTTTTTTAGCATCCTTTAAAATTGTGACATCTAGGAAGTGACATTGTTTGAATCCTGCAGGAATGAAAGGCTCAACAAAAAAAAACTTTGTTATATTTTTCTTTAATGTAAGTTTATCAATAACTACAAACCAACATTAGTCTAGTTAGTCTGGTGAATTATGGTGTGTACATTTTTTTTAAATATGTATTTTTTTAATACATATATTAATTTTTTAATATATGTAACGTCTCGGTTACGTATGTAACCCTCATTCCCTGAAGGAGGGATCGGAGACGTCACGTCAGATGACCGATGAATTGGGATCTCGCTTAGAGAGACCAATCCACTTCGAGTGTAAACTAAACGAGCCAATGCACATTGGCATGCAATTACTGCATCCAGCTGCCGCTGATCACAGTGTGAGTATAAGTAGGCAGCCGATGCAGCGCATACTCAGGTTTTCACTGAGCCGGTGACCCGGTCACTCAGCGGTGGTGCAGAAGCTGTGGCGACGGGACGTGACATCTCTGTTCCCTCCTTCAGGAAACGAGGGTTACATACATAACCGAGACGTTCCCTTTCAGTCGGTCACTCTCGACGTCACGTCAGATGACCGACGAATTGGCATCCCTACCAAAGGGCCATATACAGATACTGCCCCTTCCAGTGACCTGTGGAAGCCACCTGCGCCCCTTCTTTTTGGTGTAGGCCGAGGCTTACCACAAGAAGACCAGTTACTGCTGCTATGGCACTGCCCACTCAGTAAGACTGGATAACACTGGGAAAACGTACCCCTAACACTTGGGACAGGAACGTTGCGGAAGCCCCATCCTTCCCGAAGGAGGTTTCTGAAGCACTTACACATATGAACAGCCGTCTAGGAGCGTATGGAAGATTAGAGGTGATAGTAACCCTCTTGGAAAATAGCAGGAAGTCTGACGGGGAAACACGGGCTCTTAGGCTATACCGTGGACTTTACACATATGGGATCCACTTAGGTCTCTACATATGGAACCCAGCCCTCTACTGGTTGTCACGGATTCATCGAGTGAGGGCCTGGCACCGGACACTCCGCCACGTCTGGCTGCCGAGGGAATGGAGGAGCTCGACAGAGTCTACGATGGACTCTCTGGAGCGGTTTTAGCAAACCAACTTGAAGCCGGGGTCTCTCAGTGCTTCTACCCATTTAAAGTGAGAACACAGGAGGATACCGGCTCCACACGAAGGCTATAGAATCTAGTGAACGTGTTGGGGGTCGTCCAGCCCGCAGCTCTACAAATATCTGTCAGCGAGGTCCCACGAGCCAGCGCCCAGGAGGACGCAACACTTCTAGTAGAGTGAGCTCACAACTTGAACGGGCAGGGCACACCCTGTGCCTGATAAGCCAGGGTGATGGCATCCACTATCCAGTGGGCGCGTATGGAAGATTAGAGGTGATAGTAACCCTCTTGGAAAATAGCAGGAAGTCTGACGGGGAAACACGGGCTCTTAGGCTATACCGTGGACTTTACACATATGGGATCCACTTAGGTCTCTACATATGGAACCCAGCCCTCTACTGGTTGTCACGGATTCATCGAGTGAGGGCCTGGCACCGGACACTCCGCCACGTCTGGCTGCCGAGGGAATGGAGGAGCTCGACAGAGTCTACGATGGACTCTCTGGAGCGGTTTTAGCAAACCAACTTGAAGCCGGGGTCTCTCAGTGCTTCTACCCATTTAAAGTGAGAACACAGGAGGATACCGGCTCCACACGAAGGCTATAGAATCTAGTGAACGTGTTGGGGGTCGTCCAGCCCGCAGCTCTACAAATATCTGTCAGCGAGGTCCCACGAGCCAGCGCCCAGGAGGACGCAACACTTCTAGTAGAGTGAGCTCACAACTTGAACGGGCAGGGCACACCCTGTGCCTGATAAGCCAGGGTGATGGCATCCACTATCCAGTGGG